AGGAAGCTTGCTTCCTCCTCTCTCTCTACCTGCCTCTCTGCCTACCTGTGATCTCTGTGTGTTAAATAAATAAATTTAAAAAAAAAAATTTATCAGGGCTTTCACCAAAATCAACAGATACTTATCAAGCACTTTCTGTGTTGTAGATGGAGTACTTTCTCTTTTTCTGAGGCTACTTATTGAGCACTTTCTATGTGTCAGGCACTATTTGAAGCATCCAGTATATACCATAAACAAAACAAACTCCCAACTCTCAAGGAGCTTACACTCCAACGGAGAGAGATGCACAAACAAAACAAACAAGTATGATAATGACTAGTGCTCAGCAAAATAAAACAAGAGAAAGTGATAGGGCTTAAATGCAGTCCTCATTATGGGTCCCCAAAATGCAGCTTACTATGGAAAACTGATGCATAAGAATAAAGAATTAGTTCCCTCATTATCTCCATTTTGAATCACCCAAAAACCGGCAACAAGTTTTTCCTACATCTCCAGGAAGGAGGCTGCAACACTCAGAATAATGTACTCCTCCACCATCACAGACTGAAGGTTAAGTCTAATTAAATAATTATAAATAAGCAAATTTAACAATTTAGACCATCTATAACTTTTTTCCAATTGTTAACAAGATGACACTTTCACGATATGGAAAATATGGCTTAAAAGAAGGATTTTATTTTGCCAAGTCCATTCCTGGTCAGAAAGACCTACTTAGAGTGGGGTCATTCAAAGTGGGACTGTTTATAAAAGGGATAGTCTGGTAACTGCTACTGAATCTGGGAAGACAATTTTTAAGGGTAATCCAAAGAATGGTGAGAATATCATTAGGGCTTCAATGCCCCCAGTTTCTTAAAAAAGATAAATGATTTAGCTATTTCAAAGAAAAACATATGTAAGAAATAAACAGCACTGAACATCTAACAATATAATAACATCCTTTAGAAAATCTCTTAATCTCATCATCAACACTGACAATCAGGAATTCTCAAGAAAATCAACATCTCCTCCTCCATATAAGGTTCCGCAACTTCTCTTACCCTGAAGTATACTGTCTTCACTTTCTTTTACATTGATTCAGGTGTCTGTTTGCTTCTACAATTGCCTTTGGCAGGAGCCAATGAATTTTTTCCATACTAAATGTAATAATGTGTATAATATATTATACCAGTTGAGGACACATAGTCCAGTGTATTAAAATAAATAACAAGGCGCCTGGGTGGCTCAGTGGGTTAAGCCTCTGCCTTCGGCTCAGGTCATGATCTCAGGGTCCTGGGATCGAGCCCCACATCAGACTCTCTGCTCAGAAGGGAGCCTGCTTCCCCCTCTCTCTCTGCCTGCCTCTCTGCCTACTTGTGATCTCTGTCTGTTCAATAAATAAAATCTTTTAAGAAATAAATAAATAAATAAATAAATACCAAAGGTCATCTTTTCCATTAAAAATGAAAAAAGTCCCAAGTTAAAACGATACTACGTAGCATATAAATGGTATTTAGATGCATGCTATTTTGCCCTTGATTTTCTATGCAATTAAGGATTACTCAGAATTGGTATGATTTCAAAAACCTAAAAGATCATCAATTATAATTGCTAAGGATCTAACTAACATTTTAGATAAAGTAACTGTAAGATATTATGCTGAATATTCCCTACAAATCAATACTTAATATACATGGTCAGAAACAACCAACTAAAACTACTCCAACACTTTGGCTGCTGAAATCAAATGAAGAAAAAAAGAAGTTCCATCTTTAGTCCTCGTCAGTATTTCTCAATAAAGTCCTCCATCTAAATTTACTAGAAATACAGAAATAAATAATCTTCACCTCAGGACAATCAAACATCCACCCATCACCAAAGCTGAAGCTTCTACCCCTCTCACTTGAATACCCTTTCCAGGTACATCAACGTGCCTTAGAGATCTGTCTGGCTTTGTTCTAGGAATCCATACACAAAATGACTCATCTTTTCATTAAAGAACAAAACTACGTCTTGCTTAAGAATAGTCAAACCTCATTCATTTCCCACATTGCAAAACAAGCATTCTAGTTCCAGAAAGTAGAGCTTATGTCCCAAATCTATACATATACACCATCTTCAAAGGTACAATTCTCTTCCATATGTATAGTAAAATTTAGCAAAAGGCAAGCCATTTTTTAAAACTAGCTATTTCTGAATTTAAGAAATGACCTGTCACAAAATTGATATAAATATATCAAAATTTACCAAATTCTGCCTGTGCACTTGAAATAGCTATCTCAGTAAAAAGCATTAAAATGACTTACTCAATTTTTAATAGTATTGTTACTAGTAAGAATACAACTTTTCTTTCTCTTAAAGATAGGTAAATGGTCCCAAATACAGTAAAATCATTCTGAAATGAGTCTGGACTCAGACTTTTTTTTTTTTTTTTTTAGATTTTATTTATTTATTTGACAGAGAGATCACAAGTAGGCAGAGAGGCAGGCAGAGAGGGAGGGGGAAGCAGGCTCCCCGCTGAGCAGAGAGCCCGATGCTGGACGCTGCGGGACTCGATCCCAGGACCCTGAGACCACGACCTGAGCCGAAGGCAGAGGCGTAACCCACCGAGCCATAGAGGCACCCCTGGACTAGGACTTATAATACTGATATTCTCTCTCGAGAGGCTATTTTATAGGCGTATCACAAGGGATGACCATTTAGGTTTTGTCCCTTAAAACAACATGGAAGTAACATTTAGTAACACTAAAATCAATGTACCAAGTAACTCATTTCAATTTGACAAATATATACTGTATGAGGCCACACAAATTTTAATCACTAAGCTAAGTAAACCTGTCGTTTGTTTCTCTTTCAAACTTTATGTTTTATGGCCAATACCTGCAAAACAAAGTAAGTTCTATACTGTGACCTACTTTAAAGACAGACACAGTGTTTAAAAAAAACAGCTAACTACTATAAAAATTAGCCATTATGATAGTCTTAAAATTCCTCAAATGAGATCTAACTTAACCAATGTAACATGAGGATTCACCACAGAGACAAACATTAAAAGTCTAATAAGCAAACTTGTCATTCTAATAAACTGCCACTATGCTCTCAAATCAAAAAAGTTACGCTACAGGGGCACCTGGGTGGTTCAGTGGGTTAGGCCTCTGCCTTCAGCTCAGGTCATGGTCTCGGGGTCCTGGGATGGAGCCCCGCATCCGGCTCTCTGCTCAGCGGGGAAGGGAGCCTGCTTCCCCCTCTCCCTCTGCCTGCCTCTCTGCCTACTTGTGATCTCTGCCAAATAAATGAATGAAATCTTAAAAAAAAAAAAAAAAAAAAGTTATGTTACAGAAGGAATTTACACTGCAGATAGAATTTTGTCATGTAATCTTAGAAAAACAGACATCAGTCACCCTAAACTTCAGAATTGTTACCCAAAATTCCAAGACCCCCCCCAAATATCTGATGCCCTCTCATACAACACATGAACCAAAACCGAAATATGCTAGATACGGAAAGGGTTAATGTGTGCAACAGGTAGCAATCACTTTACAATTAAAAAAAAAAAATCTTACCAGGACAAAAGTCACAGATTCCCTGGTTTTCTACCACTACCTTTCTACTTTGTTAAAAAATGTGAACTTTTTCTGGCTGAATGAAAGGCTCTTCCTTTGAAAGACTGGATCCCAAGATCCAAGATCCTTCAAGTATTTACATAACAGCTCAACAATTCTGCAAGTCTGACACAATAAAAATGATTCCCCATATGGCTGGGAATAACCACCTGGGAAGAGAACTCTGCAGCATCCTCTTTCTTCTCCTACGGTCCCAAAGAAAAGTTTAAGGAATGTCAAAACAAAACAAAACAAGCACCCAAAATTTCACTACTGATATACGCAGTTTATTTCTGAAAGTTAAATAAGAGTTTATTTCTAAAAGTTAAAGAACTATATTCTCAATACACGCTTTAGGAGACGAGGCAAATCTCTGGAATAAGACTTGCCAGAACATACATGCCTGCTGGATATACTTGCACTCCGCACCTTTCTAACAGTCACGTTTAAACAAAGTAGCGTCTTCTCAAAAAGAGTGGAGATCATCAGAAAATGATTACAGAATCACTCTGTTTCCCTCCAAACTCAGTCTAAAACGCAGAGCCAAAGAAAACCACCATAAATTCCTTTAGTAATCTTTTAGGTCTCTCAGTTCACCAAATTTCACATAATACATACAATTCTTTGGCTTTCCCCATACCTTACTCTAAAGACACAAATGCAAATTTCTGAAATGAATATATGGTGAGAATATTAATAAAGTTCTCTTTGACCAGGGAATACAAAAATCAAATTTTTAAACTCCAATAGGGAAATACTGAGAGGAAAGCAGGGCTTAAAGAAGCAAATATTCATATGCACATACAAGCAAATTCCCTCCAAACCATTACTAAGTAAAAATTTCTTTCAACATGATGTATCTCATACTTCCTTCCCAAAATACAAAATATAGAACTTCTGGTATTCTACCCTTTCTCAATCAATCCCCACCAACCCTCTAAACCTATCAGTGTTACTTGTGTTAAAAATAAAAATAAAATCCATAGTTCTACCCCCCAGCTCAAAGCCACAAATCCTGACATACCATCATCTACAAAAATGATACAGAACTATCCTTTCTCAGTTTTGTCCCTAAAATTTGCATTCTAATCTAACTTAGATTTATTACAGTGTCAGTATTGCAGAATTAGTAATCCCTGTCACAATGTAATCCACAAAATCCTTTGATTTACAACAGTTTCTAGAGAAGTTAAGGCTACATACAAGTCCATTTCCAAACAGGATGAATATTAAGGCTCTCACTACTTGGCCTAAAAACCAAATGAGATATTAATACACCATCTCTCCTCTGGTAACAGAAAAGCCACCTGGAAAGTTTTAATCACAGTAGGTTCACAAATGGAGACAAAACAGTTATTGTACTTCAAAATTGGAAAAAAAAAAAAAAAAGAGAGAGAGAGAGAGAGAGAATAAAATACTAACCAGTCTCTGGCTGTAACGAATCCTTTCTTCTTCGGGTTCCATCTCTCACTCTTCTGTTGAAATTACTGTGAAGAAACCACTCCAGGGCTGCCTTCCTCTTCCTTAGGAACCAGGTTTACAACACTAAAGAATAAGGATAGGAGCAGAGATGAGAACTCATCCCCAAACTGAAGCTTTCTTTTCACAGGAGGGGAATTTAAGATGTAAATTAAAGGCTCTCTGACAAATCCGGTTCCTCTTCGTCAGTTCGGGACCCCTCGGCTTTGGGGCAAGCGTTCCCCTGCCATGACCAACGTTAATCACATTACAACTGTCTGAGGCCTAGGCAAAAGGAGATGATGTTGGTTTCAGTTCCTTGTGGATGGGCCACACACCACTGTTTCTTCCCCACAGGATTACAATAAGCCAGCCTCCCCTTGATGGCAGCAGTGGCAAAAAAAGAAAAAGGGGGGGGGGGGACTTTTATCTGTAGAGAACTGACCAGGTGAAGCGGGCACTGAACAAATCCAGATCCGAACCAAATTAGCTCTCTCTCACCGATAATTAGAAATTAAAAGGAAAAAAGGGCAGACTATAATTTTGAAAAGGACAAAAAAATCAGGATAAAGAAAGGTTCCAAAACAATTTCCCATACCCCTCTAGGAAAGCCTCACACAATCGTCGCCTTCCTTCCTAGAGACCCTGGATCTTTTCATTCCCAAACCAACACTCCACCCCAACACAAGATGTGTGTAACTCTGAAACAAATTCAAGAGAGTTGCAAATCAGGGACCAAAATCACATTAGATCTTTTTGAATCAAGTAATAAAATGACCGAATCCATCTACAGAAATAAGTAAAATACAGCTTTCCAAAAATTACGACCGAACTGCGCGAGGGTCGAGCGGTAATACCAAGAAAGGTTTTTTCTTTTTTTCTAAATATTCTCAAGAATAATGGCTTCCATAGGGAATGCAGATTTTTTTTTTTTCCTTTTTGCAACTACATTACAGCCACGTTAATAGCATCCTTTCAAAACTGTTACGAGACCAAAGGACCCAATGACACAGTTTGCAAGAGCAGTTCGTGGCAGCCCTCCTAGAGGAAGCCCTTGTCCCAAGTCGGGAGGAAAAGAAACCGTGTTTGAACCCCTGGGCGAGGACCGCCGGTGACTGAAAGCAGCCAGGGCCGGAGAGGAAAAATGGCAAATCTCGCTGGGCTCCCCGAAGGAAAGGCGTTTCAATCGTTCACCCATCGGAAAAAGAAATAGAAACTTTACATTAAGACTTTAGATAACACGGTGAACCAAACTTCCAGGGGGGAGGCCTAGGAGGGGGAATCTCACCGGGGATTTTGCTCGTGAGTTCTTGTCCAAGTGAGAAGTAAAAGATTCCAAAAACTGAGAGCAAAAATTAAATCCCAAACGTCGTCTTCGTTTTTTTTTCCGTGGATCAACCCAGTATCCAGAGAGGGTCAGAGCGACCCGGAAAAAGAGGAAACAGTTGCTGAATCAAACCTCCTCTTCAAGCTTCGGAGACCGGGAGTCGGAGGCGTCAGGAGAGGGGAGCGCGACCCCTCGGCGCCGAGCCCGGGGCGCCCCCGCCTCCCCCGGGCCAGCGGTCAGCAGCCCGAGCCCGAGCCCCCGGCCAGCCCCGGCCAGCCCCGTCCGCGGGGAGCGCCCTCTTCGCTGTGCCCTCGGCGAGCAGCCGCCCGGCCGCCTCCGGATCCCAGAAGCGGCGGCCGATCAGCTGAGACCGGCCGGCCCGAGGCTCCCCGCGCCGCTCCGGCCCCCCGGAACGCGGGCCCCGGCCCCGGGGGGCGGAGAGGGCGGGAGCGGCGCGGCGCGCCGGGCTGGGGGCCCGGACTCCCCTCGCGTCTCCCCCTCAGCCCGGGCTCCGCGCTGCGGGACGAGCCCCCGGCTACTCCCCAGTCGCAGAGGAGGGATTCCGGGGGATGGGCCCCCTGGCGTTGCCCCTCCTCCCGGAGCGCCCCCTGCCCAGGATAGACGGAGCGGCGACAGGCCCAGCCGCTGGGAAGGTGCTCTGCGAGCCGCAGCCGCCGCCGCCGCCGCCGCTGCCGCCGGGGAGGGGTGTTGTTTCCCTCACACAGGAGGAGCCGCTGAAGCAGCCGCCGCCATTTTGAACCCGTCAGACTCTCACATACACACAGCTCTCCGCGGTGCACTGCGCAGGCGCCGCCCCCCCACCCCTCCTCCGGCTCGCCTCCGCCCACCCCCCCTTCAAGCCTCCCTTCGTTTCTTACCGCTCTCTCGAGCGCACGTGAACGCGCACGCGTCACTCCCCTCTAACGCGGACACTCCGCGGCGCGCGCACGCGCGGATGCGTCGGCCTCGAATCGCCCGCGCCCGGCGACGCCGACGCGGCTCCCCGCCCCCCTTCGCGTCAGCCTGCCCGCCCTCCCGCCGGCCCACCGCCCCCGCTCCCCACAGGGCCTTCTTCCTGGGCTCGGGCCCGACCCGCTGCTCGCGCCTGCGCGCAGACCAGGATCCTCCTCCGCGCGCCCTCCCCTCCCACACGCCCTCGCACGAACACACACACACTTTGCCTCTGTGACCCCGCCCCTCGCCGGCCAGCTGCGCCGGCGGCCCTCCCCCACCTCTCCGGGGAGGGTGGTGACCCCCCCGACCCCCCATAAAGCACAACAACCCCCCCAAGCAGAAGGGAGAAGCGCCCCGTTCCCCTTCAACCGCCCTTTGCCCCAGTCGGCCCGTCACAGTCACACAACCTGAAGGCCGGGTGGCCTGGGCCAGAGCAGCCGTTGCCCGCCTGAAAGCCGGGTCTCCCGGGGTCAGGCTGCTGGGCCGGGCCGGTCCGAGCTCGGCGCCGTGTTCGGGCCTGCCCAGGGCGAGGGGGCGCCCCGGCGAGGGGGCGCCCCTTCCCCCGGTTGCCCTCCCCTCGCCCTCCGGCCGCTGGGCCGAGGGCGGCCTGCCCGCCATCCCCGGGCAGGCCCCAGCGCCCCCCCGCCGCGGGGCCCGTTCGCCCACGGCTCGGGGGGCTCCTCGGTGCAGCGGCTCGGCCCCGCCTCACCCACTCCTCGCCGCTCCGAAGGGGCAGGAAACGGGAGTAGCATGTCTGTCCTGGGCTCGGCTCCCCCGGGGGAGCTCCGGGCGCTTGACAAGGGCGTCCACAGGTACCAGGCGCGGGAGTGGTCTCCGCGACGGCCCGGGGGCGGCGGCGGCCGGCGCGCCCACTGCGGGCCCGAGGCGCCTGGGGAGGTTGGCCCCGCAAGCCCCCGCTCCTCGGCCACGCTCAGGTTTCCGCAGCGCCGGTGCCCCCGGCGCCCCGGGTGGGACGTGACCCCGCCCCCGGCGAGTCGGGGCGCCCTCCACGGAGGGGTGCGCGGATCGCCCCTCGTCCCTGGGCCGACCCCGCCGCCCCGGGCCACGGCGGGCGCGGGAGGCCCGGCTGGGAAGATGTCTCCTCTCGGTGCGCGCAGCTTCGCGCGAGGGTCAGCGACGGGGCAGCGGCCGCCCGAGCCGCGCCTGCCCTGCCCACGAACGGGCTCCCGCGGCTCGACAGCTGCCCGACGGGCTAGCAGGCTGGGGACGTCGACGGAGCTCGGCCAGAGGTATCTGAGCAACGCCATGCGAGCAGCCCAACCGCGATCAGGGCATTTCCCCAGCCAATCTCGTGCTTTGGGGCCCGTTTAAATTATAAATCCCATAAAGGACCGTGGCTTGGGCGTTACGCATCCGGGTAGACACGCTCGGCTTCGCTAAGGTCTTGCTGAGAGGTGTCACCCAGCTCTTTTTCTCCCTGCCTTGGGTTCCTACTCTTTAACCTCTGATCCTGGGAGCCAGGAATGCAGGAGAGGGGAAAGAATATGGAGTGAATCATGTAACTTCTTTAAACAACCTTCCGCTCTTTTAGGAAGACCAATGGGGAAAGACAATTGAAATAAAGATCGCTTCTGTTTCTATCACAGCTCTGGGTTTGAACTCTGGGGTAAAGGCACTAGCTACACCCGAGGTAGTAGTATTTATTACCACAGGGTGTTTTTCTACATGCACATGTTGGGAGTTTTAAAAAACGTTCTCTGTTTCACAGCATCCTTGGGAGTCAAGCTAATGCGCCTGGTAGTATTGTACTCATTTTAAAGATAGACAACCGAAGTACAGAAAGGTTAAACAGCTTGCCTAATTACTCGAACAGAGAGGAGTCCAGCGGTCTTCGAGAGCTGACTGCAACATCTCCCAACAACAAAACCAGGTTCGTTAGTGCACTTGTGGTGATGAGCCCCGTGGGATGTGTGAAACCCCACAATCCCTGTGCCATACTCCTGAAACTAATCTACACCGTATGTTAACTAGAATTAAAATAAAAAATTTGAAAAAAAAAAAAAGATTTGTTGATATGGTCTTACTTCTTGCGTTCCAGTCACTGGGAAATGGTCTTTATTCTGATACCATTTTTGTTCAGACTTCATGGATTTTCAGGAGTACTGTTGTGAAGATCTTCACCAAAACCTTATCAGGTCTAAAGCCTTTTTAAGTCTTTCCGACTACAGTAAAATATATTTTAAAAGCAGCAGAGGCAACTGGATGTCTGCAGGTATAGAAAAAGGCAGCAGCTTGTTTTAAGAGAAAGACTTTTGCCATTGTCAGATTAAGCAAGTGTTAGGCCTCATTGCTATTTGCAAAATAAATGGCTTTATTTACTTCCCATCTGTCCTTATAACCCATGCTTGGGGGCAAAGAGAAGGAGAAGGGGTTCTTGAAGTAGCTCAACTTGGTCTTGCCCTTTTCCTTAAGGTCCCGAGCCTCTCAAGTCGTTAACCCTCAACACTGAGTGTGAGTTTCTCACCTTCAGCCGATGCCTCCTATAGATTTAACCCAGGTAGGTATGCTGGGAGGAAACCTAAGAAGATTCTAAGAGCAGTTGACGGTCATATTAACTTGGAATAGAACTGCAAGTAAAGGTTTGTCAGAAGGCAACCAGCTCTTTTCCAGTCGGAAGCCGTTTGTTAACTAGTCTGGAGGGGGTGTGTGGCGGGGGGGTGATAGCATTTAAAAAGATACACATGATGGGTGTGCACCTGGGTGGCTCAGTTGGTTAAGCAACTACCTTTGGCTCAGGTCATGATCCCAGAGTCCGCATAGGTCTCCCAGCTCCACGGGGAGTCTGCTTCTTCCTCTGACCTTCTCCCCTCTCATGCTCTCTATCTCTCTCAAATAAATTAATAAAATCTTAAAAAAAAAAAGATATACATACACAATGGCTTTTCCACAGGCAATCTTTGTTAATATTTGAAAGCAGATATGCAGAATAAGTTAAGAGATAGTCAGGTAGCAATGATGCCCCCAAAATCACAATTGGCAAGGGTGTGTTTTGAGGCTCACTGCTTTGCCCTAAAGGAGACATTTTCAAGAATAAAGCTTGGGGGTCCCTGGGTGGCTCAGTTGGTTAAGCAGCTGCCTTTGGCTCCGGTCATGATCCTAAAGTCCTGGGAAGGAGTCCCATATCGGGTTCCTCGCTCCATGGGGAGTCTGCTTCTCCCTCTGACCTTCTCCTCTCTCGTACTCTCTCTCACTGTCTCTCTGTCAAATAAATAAATAAAATCTTAAAAAAAAAAAAAGGAATAAAGCTTGGGTGATTCCCCAAGAAGGGCACGAGAACTATGGAACTATATGGCTTCAACTGTGACTGCAGGGAGAGGCAGAGTGGTGGACGGGAAGAAGGAAAGAAAGGTGTCTTCTAGAAACACCAAGGAGAGGATCCCTGGCTGGAATATGCTGGCACCTAATAAGATATTAACAAATTTCTGCCTTCTTGAGCGAAGCTGACACCCAACAAATGCTGAGTCAAAGTCCAGATCACCTACTTCTTTTGGGAGACTTTAGTGGGTGGAAGGAGAACTGTATAGTCTCTTCAACCAAATCGAACTATTTCTAATTTCTCTGCACCCCTTAAATGTTAAGGAGGAAGTAGGGATGTCCCAAACAGTGGAAGTCTAAACCAAAATAGAGAAGTTCGTTTTGAAGATGCCCCTGTGGTAGCATAACCAGTGGTTAAAAAGCTTTGACGTCAGAGACTAAATTACCAGATCTTTGATCCTAATGAACTCCTCAAAGCCTCCATTTTTCATCTATGAAGTGGGAAAATGCCTAATGCTCAAATGAGTAATGTTTTAAAGCTCAATGTCTAGCACATAATAGTCTCCAATTATGAGCATTTACTATGTTTCTGACTTCTAGTTTTAAGGAAAGTTTTGAGTAAAGATGCTTCAATGTTTAGGTAAATTGACATGGAGTGCAAGTAGTCACTTAGAGCTTCTCTTTCCCTTTCTAGCTCCTAGCCTTTCTTTCCTCCCCACCCCTGATGTCTCTGATCTCCATTTTCCTCTCTCCCTGCATTCTGTCTGTGTCTCTCTCATCATCACGTCGCTCCTGAGGTCTCTTTTACCCATCTATTTGGAGCCCTCAAGCACATACTCTGTACTTGTGCTAATCATTTCCTGAACATCTCCCTCTACCTCCTTCCACTAGACTGTAAGTTCCTTCAAGACAGGAGTCAGGCCACATTCGTATCCGTCAAAAACCTTCCAAAATCAATATCACATACTTAAAGGTGTCAACCTTAGGAGAGGTTAAGAAAAAAAAAAAATGTGCTGGGTGATTGTGGGTTTTAAAGGATAGAAAGCTTTCTTTTGAGGATGGAAGTAAAATCTGAAGTGATCAGGAGGAAAAAATGGAAGCCAGAAAAGCCCTGAGGATTGTCGTAGCATTGAACATGAATAGCACAGGAGATTCTTGTAAGTTTCATGGAGCGCTGTTGATCCCTTCTGCAGGACTATGGGACCACAGCTCTCCCTGGCCCAATGCCTCCTTGGTGCCATTTTTTCTGGGCGTATAGCCTGCCTTTGTGCAGACCTGCCTCTCCTGATGTGAGGGGCTGACTTCGGCTGCGAGGGCAGCTACAGCAGCATCTGGAACCTGCCTGCTCTTTTTAGCCACCTTGCTTTCCCCCTTGGGGCGAGGCCACCATCACTTCCACTTCTAAAAGGGAGGACTCCCTGCGTTTTCCAGGGGTGGGTCTTCAAAGATGCCAAGCCCTGTGCCTCACCATGCTTGGGCTTTGTCGGGGGTTCTTTCTGGCACCCTGAGGTTTCCAGGTCTGTTTGCAACCTTATGCTTGTTCACTGGCTGAGCTAATGAGAGCTTATAGTGTTGCAGCGGCATCCCCAAGGGGCTAGTTACCTAAACACTTGGGCCTGTTCCTGGATCTGCCTAGTGGGTCTGATCTTTGCCCATCTTCTATAAGAACATCCCCTGCCTTTTATCAGCTTTGGCTAAGTCTAGTCCTTCTTCGGCCGCTTTATGAGAGGTTCTTACCAGTTGTATGTTATTAACCCAAGCCCTTAACCTATCAGAAACCCCGTTCTCTCTTTAATAAAACGGAGATAACAACTCCTGCCCTGTTTCCTGCTGGGATTATTGTGGAATCAAATGGACAAATGCGCACGAACACCCTATGGATGCTAGAAGACAACACGTTTAGATGGGATTGCTGGTTCTCCTATTTTTTCTCATTTCTCTTTTTTCCTACATGAAGAATTTGTTTTGCTACTAAGTACCCTTGTGCCCAACACTAAATGGAGCGCTAAGATGGAGACAGGAGATCTGAAAAATTAGAAAGCTTGGCTTTTACCCTTGGACACTCCACATCATGGAGGACATACTGGGAAGACTTGACATGCTTAGAAAAAATCATCATTACAGTCAATCACCAGACGATCGTGTAGACAGCAGGAATTGGAGAGAGAATTCCACTTGGATGTGGGCCCCAGGGGAGAGGAAAAGTTGCACGTTTTTGTTCATGTTCATTAGTATATCCCCAGTGCCCCAAACCCCAGGCTTGGCTGGCACTAGTCTGTCTGTGTTTATTGACTCCATGAATAATGTAGCATGCTGGTGCTTTTGAGACACGGGAGGGCTTTGAACCTCTGCACAGGTAGGTTTGGTTTGGACAGAGAGGCACATAGGTTCCGGAAGCAATGGGTTGATGGGACAGCACTTGTTGGAGGTGAACTGTTCTTACAGTTGTCACTTCAGCCGGAATAGAGCTGATGGAACCCAAAACCCCTACCAGGAGGTAAGGATGCAGATCTTAGGGCAAGTGCTTTGCTCTCTTTACTCCAGGTTCTCTTGTGATCTAGTCCTTCTGTTTCACTGATCTCTACTGCCTCCGGTTTCTGGGTGCCGTCTTCAGAGTCCACAACAGAAGCACAGCTTTCAATGTGATATTATGAGCTTAATATCGCCAGTCAACTTTTTTTTTCCCCTGAATGCCTCTAATTAAATTGTCGGTAATATTGGACGTGTGTAATTTTCAAATGATGATCTTCTTTTACTCCCCCCAAATGCTTGCTAAATATTTAAACTCTGAAATGTATTCACTTGTCTTTTTCTTTCTGACTAGATCTATTTTCACACTCCCTGGGGGAACCACAAGAAAATATTGACTGCATTTAAGATGAGCTTTTCATGTTGTATTTTTGGCAATTATACTTGATTTGCCACCCAGCTTGGGGTTCATGTTTTGATTTTGTCACAATTACTAGTTCTGCTTCTACCGTTGATCTAGTTATTGTCTCATTGGTGAGTTGCGTGTCCTTAATAAATTTTCTATCCCTGTATAATTTATTGGTTTGAGGAAAGTGGGAGACACTATATGTCTATGCCTTAGTCTTTATTATTGAAACTGATTACAAGATTTACCAATATCCAAGCTTTTAATAAACATGTTTATAATGGTGAAGGCTTATGTTTTGCATAAATGTTAGTATTTTCCATAGCCCCAGTACTCATTTACTATTTCCTTTTTCCTTTTTAAAGATTTTTCATTTATTGGGGGCACCTGGGTGCCTCAGTGGGTTAAAGCCTCTGCCTTCGGGATGGAGCCCCGCATCAGGCTCTCTGCTCAGCGGAGAGCCTCCTTCCCCGCCCCCCGCCTGCCTCTCTGCCTAATTATGATCTCTGTCTGTCAAATAAATAAATAAAATCTTTTTAAAAAAGTATTTTTCATTTATTTATTTGAGAGAGAGAGAGCATGCTCCAGAGAGAATGAGTAGGGGGAAGAGCTGTGGGAGAGAGAGAAGCAGACTCCCTGCTAAGCAGGGAGCCCGAAGCTGGGCTCAATCAGGTTCCTGATCATGACCTGAGCCAAAGGCAGATGCTTAACTGACTGAGCCACCCAGGCGCCCCCATTTACTATTTCCTATATTTCATGCATTTTTGTAGTCAACCAATTCAGAAAAGTGGGCAAATCGAATTCTCAAGTCCAGCCTGCTGGGAGATAAATATAGAATCTGCAA